CCCCAAAACCCCAAAACCCCAAAACCCCAAAACCCCTCCTTCAATACTAATAATAGAATTCTATAATTTTAAGGCCAAATCCCTTTTGTCTAAAATGAATGGAGATAAAAGAGCTGGGATGCACTCTGTAGACATAAAGAGTGTCTCCCCACTTGAATACCGAAAGAAACGACTTGGGCGGAAGGTAACACTACCTGATACTTTCCCTGAAAAAGTACTTGAGATCGAGTCATGGATCGATAAAGGAGAGTTTGTCAAGGAAGATTTAGACGAGCTAATGCTTATTTACTCTCAAGTTGTAGAGTATTATAACAGTATCAACAGTGAGAAAGCAAGCTATTATGCTGATAGGATACAAGTTACTCTTATGAAGCCGAATGTACTGGAAAGAATGATGCTTTCTTCAAAAGAGCCAAATGAAGTTCTTAAAAAGGATCAGGAAATTATTTCCAAAAGAGAGCAAGAAAAGAAGATGGACCATAACCAAAGATCCATCAAAAAGACTCAAGAATACAACCGGAAGAAGAAAGAACGGAGTCATGAAATGATAGTAAGAGAAGAGGCCCAGAAGAAAGAGAAAAAGAAAACACTTGAAAAGAGTATTGAAGAAACCCACAGAGCTGAAGACACCAGTGTGGATCATGTAGCCAAAGACCTAATCAAACAAAGCACTGACTTTCATAAAAGATTAGCAGAAAGAAGAAGGAAAAATGGATTCATCAATAGCTGTAAAAATGCTAATTCTCAGTCCTTCTTCAAGTTCGAATCAACGAATCTCGGAAATAGATTCGAGAAAGATAGTAGTACAATTATTCAAAATGTTAGCATTATTAAAAAGGAAGCAAGTGATATTGAGGATGATGAAAGCTTTAGCTTGGAACTCCTCAATAAACTTCCCGATACAACAACTTCAACTCTGAATATCACAAACAAGACACCTAATGCTCCACCTCATGACAATCTCAAAATTGGGACATCTCTTAGCGAAGAAAATGAAGAAGAGGAGAGTGAAGATGAACTTCTCGAAGAGAATCTTAAAGAAATTTGGAAAGAGTGTGAAAAGGTCTTTGAAACTATTCAAGTAGAGAAAGAAGAGGCTACAAACAAATTCATTGAAGAATTGACCACCAAAAAGTTTGAACTGATTGCTGAGTTAAAAGCTGAAATGAAAATTAGATTATCCCAAGCTGACAATGAGCAAGAAAAATCTTCAATTGAGCAAGAATATCAAAATAAAATAACCAAAACTGAGATAAACTTAAAAAGAGAAAAGGATGAGGGACTCTCAGATATCAAAAATAGGTTCTTCAAAAGAAAGAAGTCTATCATGAGTAAGATAGATATCGAGAGCGCTAAGTCTAAGCTTAAGGCATCTTTCCAATCCAAGAACATGAGCTTCCTATCCACCCCTTCTTCTCATTCTTTTTATCTCTCACCTTATGAACAATCACCTAAAAAGGCGGCTCAGGTTGAAGGATTGGTTTCAAAAGAGTATGTAATGAAACCTTCTCCGAAAACCTTGCTGTCCCCTTCTGCTCCTCCAAAGAACATGCCAAAGACACCCACAAGGATGAAGAAGATAGACTTCGGTCTGCCAAACTAAGGAATCTAACCTCATAATTTTTACTTTATTCTAACATAATTTTTGAAGATATAAAATCATCACAACTAAAAATATCTGTACAAATAAATTCCATAATACCCCAGTCAGGTTTAGAAATTATTAGTTTCAACTAAACCTATAGCCATTGGGGTTTTGGGGTTTTGGGGTTTTGGGGTTTTGGGGTTTTGGGG